GGCACGACCATCGTGCATGCCTAAACAAAATCGAGACTCGTCACTAAAGACAATACTGTTTCATTCCTGATCCCAGAGTGACCGTTGTCTGCACCACTCAAGGCGATTACGTCGGTGTTCTCGAGATAAAGGGGGGACTCAGTGGCCGGTATGAAAACAAGCTAAAACTTCTCATTCGTCGGTAAACACTTCGCATGCCAATAGGTCTTCCGTGTTCTGCAAATCATTCATTTGCAATGGACCTGGTAGTGGAGAAACGGTCCCTTAAGGCCAATAATCTTAGGCGGCGATCTTCACGGTCTGTTGTTCTACGGCGGCGTCCAGTGCCCCTTGCTCTTTGCGTACGGCCTTCTCGAAGCCATGCCTGACAACACCTAACCACAGTGTCTACACTTCCTTGCACTCTAACTGCAATTGCCCGAAAAGAAAGTCCAGCTTCCCGAAGTCCCACTATACGGCCCCTATCAAACTCACTAAGTTGACGAAATCGTACAGGTCTCCGTACTCTAGGCATCGTAACCGATCGTAAAGGATGTCAGGAACCAAAATCCGCCAACGTTCATTCTTTACTGCGGCTGAAATATTCATTTTTAGAGCGTTAGTGAATTAAAAAAAACAGTATAAAAACCGGAATGTCCAACTGATAAGGCTGAAAATTTGTTCACTTGTTATTTACAGTAAGATAAATACATTCACCAACTTTTATTAAAATAAAACCATTTAAACTGGGTGTTCGGATTTATATGTCACTTAGTATATGTATCTCCAATCGGTTGCTTAATAAACAATAATAATAATTGACGACTTTATTCGTCTACAATTACACTGTACTGTAGCCAAATTATTCACAAACAGATTTGGTTAGTTACATCGAAAGTGAAAAATTAAAAGAAAAGGGCATACGTTCCAAACCCAAATACACCAAAAATTATTGACCTGACTAAAACAAAGAATGAAAAAAGAAATGCTTGATTACCTAAATTATATGTTTGGGGGTTAAGTAATATTGTTATAGCTTTTTGTTAAAAGATAGGTAACGAAAATCCTTTATATAGAAGGTCATTATAAAAAACAACATGGTTGGAAAAACTGCGTTTAAAAAGTGTGGATGAATGCTGGTGTATTCTACTCTCCTTTTCTCTGAGAGTGCTACAGTGAACATCATTATTAAAAGAAATTTTTTCTCTCGCGTAAGATGGCTTAGACGTGAGTAGTAATTTGCGAACGAAAACTGAGTAGTGATACTTGAGCAAGTCATTAATTATTAACCAGTTTAAAACGGGATATTTTGCTGCTAAATGATCAAATTTATGTAAGCCACAACAGTTTTCAATAACTTGAATAACGGTGAAACTGTCTAAAGACGCATATTACGATAATCGCGTATAGACATGACCAATACTTCACACAGTTTTTTACAATACCTGCATAGGGAGAATATGAAAAATAAGAAAGCAAGGGAACAGTGGCGTAGGTAGTATTGAAAGGTAGTATTGAATTTGCCTCTAACAGTCAATCCTGAAAGTTGGTTGGTAGCTGGTACTGTAGGATAATTTTTTAGGTGGGCTTAATGAAATAGAGGAGATGTGGGTTCGAATCCCGCCGACTTCCATTGTTCCCATCTCTCAAATTGTTGTTTATAGTCCTGTTCGTAAAGCAGTCGCCAATCTTTGACCGCGTCCAAGATTCCGCCACACAAATTACGTCACTCTGCTATGCTATGTAACGGATGTTTTTTTTTTCTCGTTGGCATTACTTTTGATGATGACGACCGATTTGACAGCTGTCAAGTGATTTATTCTCAGTTTGGTATGGCAATGCGTCATGAACAACGCTTGCAAATTATGCAGTTTTATTTCCAAAATAATGGTGCAGAATACGTATCGCGCACTACGTCCATTTTATCGTCGACAAAATCGTCCAGTTCATTCGATTAACCACGTTTACCCTAATTGATAACTCGCATCCCCACAGACGCCGTACGTTGCGTACAGAAAAAGCTATTGCTACAGTAGAGCCTAGCATTGAGGAATGAGTCCATCCGCCATCGAGCACAGGAATTGGATCTGGGTCCATCCACGTTGTGGAAGATTTTGCGGAAGGATCTTGGTTTGCGTGCTTACAAAATCCAACTCGTGCATGAATTGAAGCCAAACGATTATCAAGCAATTCGTAGATTCGTTGAATGGGCCCAAAACGAGATTGCCGTTGTTCTCGATTTTCATAAGCGAATTCTGTGTAGCGATGAAGCGCACTTCTGGTTGAATGGCTACGTCAACAAACAAAACTGCCGCATTTGGAGTAAAGCTAATCCTCAAGTCTATGTCGAAACACCGTTACCTACATCCAGAAAAACTGACTGTTTGGTGCGCTTTATGGGCTGGTGGAATCATTGGTCCGTACTTCAAAAACGTTGATGGCCAGAATGTTACAGTCAGTGGTGATCGGTATAGAGCCATGATTACTAACTTTTTCACTCCTGAATTGAGCAATCATGATGTCCAGGAGCTGTGGTTCCAAAAAGATGGCGCAACATGTCACACAGCTCGTGCTACAATCGATTTATCGAAAGACACGTTTGGCGACCGCCTAATTTTGCGTTTTGGACCTATGAAGTGGCCTCCAAGATCTTTTTCTGTGGGGCTATGTAAAGTCATTGGTCTATGCGGATGAGCCACAAACGCTTGACAATTTGGAAGACAACATTCGCCACGTTATTGCTGATATACGGCCACAAATGTTGGAAAAAGTCATCGAAAATTGGACGTCCAGATTGGACTACATCCGAGCCAGCCGTGGCAGTTATATGCCAGAAATCATATTTAAAATGCAATCCCACAAGATTATCTTTCGAATAAAAAAAATGCATGTCAATCGATTAATCCATAGTTGTTTTATTGCAATTTAAAGTTCTATATCTCTAAAAAAAACACCCTTTAGTAGTGTTGTTGATTCTCGTTACTTTCGAGTATCCGTTACTAATCGTTACTCTTCTACAAAATAATCATTAATTTTATTCGTCACTTTGCTTACTATGAGTAGTATGAGCATAACGATTTGGCAACGGGCGTCGAATTTGAACAACTTAAATGGAACCGAATCTTGTAAGAGAATACACAACCTTAAAATTTTCCAAGCATAGTTTATTCAAATCTGCCGTGTTTATTGCAAACATCGTATCTTCAGAATTTATGCAAAACGAAATGGGTTATTACAGGAAAGTGTGTCATAGGACTCATAGGAGCCTAAAAACAAAAAATACCTTGTATTTACTAGAAACGCTTGCTTAAAAAGCGTATATTTTATTTAGAAAGATGATCTGTATATGCGCTTAAGGAAACTCTTCGAAGCATGCTTATATATCAGTATGAAAAATTCTATGTGGAGCTTAGTTACACATACTATTTGTGGTCATATTGAATTATAAGTAAACAGGAATCAAATTGACTCAATTTTTATTATTGTTGTTTTCGTGAACGGTGCTGTTACCCTGTTGTCGCTTTTCTGGCTCATAATACTGCCGAACTTTGCTCCAAACCAATCGACTCCTTATCCCTTTGCAAGTTGCCAAGATAACAGTGAGAGCGAATTTGAGTCTCGGTGTAAATAGGCACACTAGAATTTCATAGTTGCTTGCCAGATCTGGAGTTTCCAGGTTTCCACCTTAATGTGGGATGTCTGGCAACCCTGATGCATGCGCGGCAGTGCTACAATGATGCCTAAGATAGCAGAAACCAGCATTGCCACCCAACAGAGCGATCAAAGTCATCATTTCGTGCTCTCGGATTGATACTCATTACTTCGAGTACCTATGAGTAACGAATAAATGAGAAACGACCGCTATACGAACAAACATTATGATAATCACATTACGCTTACGTGACGTATCTTGTCACACAAAGGAGAACAAGCCACGTACCTCCTATTCAGTCTTCCAGGTCCTAATGACAAAGAAGCCCGGTATAACAAATGAATACTTCACAGCAAATGGGAGAAACGTGTTTCAGATAAGCAACTAAAGAGCGCATTGTGTTTCGACGATGATAACTCTATAAAAGCCCAGTCGGGCATTTTTTATCGCCCGGTTGACTTATCACCTCAGAAGTTATCGCGTGAATGAGCGATTTGAAATTGTAATGAAAGGGTGGGATGATTTTTCAAGGCGCAGTTGGGGGTAGAATTAATTTCGCCCTCGAACAATGGCGAAGCATTTCTGCCCTTAGTAATTAATCGGGATATATTGGGGATAATCATGACCTTATTCGATTTGTAAACTATTCATTAGGGGATGATTGATTTCAGGGTCAGACAAACATTCGCTAATTTGCAATCGCTTGTTGATCAGATGTAAATGCGTCGTAAATATTATGAGCATGGTGTTTTGACAAAAAATGATTTATTGTGATTCAGGGATCGAGGGTTCACTGAGAACATGTTGTGGTGACCTCTCCTGTCCAAACGTTATTTATTCGATATCCAAGGCCAGAATGATACACTCAGCGACTTTCTTCTTCACTGATGTCACTTGGAAGGAACCGAGACACGTAAAAGGCCAGATATGTAGAAAAATTATTTTAAATTGCGTGGATAATTGCTAGAAGGTGCTAAAGTAATCTGCTAAAGCAAGTTCATCAAAGACCAGCGGCATACATTTTAAAGTGCGCAGATAGAATTAGAACATAATCAGGTTCACTAAATAAGAACAACTGAATCGGTCATTTCAAAATAATTATAGATCACAAAATTTGCATATAAAAGCTGCGTCACTCGCAAATACACCTGTTACGGAGAATTTTTTAAGCTTAACATATTACGTGAGGTTTAAAATGAACAAAATTAACAGTTTATTAACCCTGGAGCGCTTAGGCGAATAGCACGGCTATAGTTGCTTAGGCGTGGTTACCAATAACCCCAGTGATATATTCCTATTTAATGAACAAAATATAAAAGATAGACACTTTTGTTTCAATAATAAAACATTTATTTCAAACACTCGGTACATATTTCAGCTCGATGATTACTGCAAACAGCCTTGAAACATTTCGCACAGGCAGTTTTTGTTTTTCGGTCATTTGTTCTTGGACATAAAATGCAGCGAGTCTGTTTTAGCAATTTTGCTGGAGGTGGATCAACTTTTTCTTCCGTTTTCATATCTAGAATATTCATTATTGATTCTTTCAATTTTCGAGGTATTGGTTTTGTCAAACGTCTTTCCATATGAGGCCTGACCAGTTGTAGTCCAAGTTCAAATAGGTATCTTCGACGAACACTTTTTTGTCTATCACGCATAACAATTTGGAAAATAATGTTGGAGTTAATGCCTGCTTGATCCATTATACCATAAAAAAGCGTAATGGCCACCTGCGTGTTTTGCGGGATACCGAACATGTGTGCACCATCTGGTCAAAGGTATCGACACCTCCTTTGGTAGAATTGTAAAAATTTATTATCTCGGGTTTTTTATTTTCATCTATTGTACTACCAGAATGCATTGTCGATAAAAGTAGCACAGATTTAGACTTCTTGGGTGTGAAGGACACCAAGGTTTTTTGGTTGTCGAATCCAAATTGAGAAGACACCTCCTTTGGTAGAATTGTAAAAATTTATTATCTCGGGTTTTTTATTTTCATCTATTGTACTACCAGAATGCATTGTCGATAAAAGTAGCACAGATTTAGACTTCTTGGGTGTGAAGGACACCAAGGTTTTTTGGTTGTCGAATCCAAATTGAGAAGACATAATTTCTTTTCGTTTGTTTGGGAGAAATGATGGAGGAATTTCCCTCTTGTTTTTTCTGAGGGTACCCACAATGGTCAAATTGTAGTCAACAAGCATTTTGTCAGCCAGTGGGATGGAAGTAAACCAATTGTCCATCGTCAAATTGGGTCCGGTTCCGTGAATGGGTTCTGTCAGTTTTCTTACGTAATAAGCTGGGAGAGGTTCTTTATCTGGCCTATTTTCTTTGCCGATATATGGAATAGCAGTAACCATATAATATGTGCGTGAATCACACATCGTTACAACTTTGATTCCATATTTGTCAGGTTTTGATGAAGTGTATACTCTAAAAGGGCAATTGCCTCGAAATCCCAATACCTGTTCGTCGATGGTACAATAACTGTTAGGAGTATAGTATTTTGTACAGTTAGATATAAACATTTCCCATATATTACGTATTGGAGAAAATTTATCTTCTCGGTCTCTCATGGCTTTGACGACAAATCTGAGGCAAAAATCTAAACCTTGTTTCACTCATTACGCATCGATACACTCTTCTGGTCCATGCTTTGACCACATTTCTGCTGTAGTTAGATGATTGTCTTTTCTACAACCTGTCATAGAAAGCAGTCCTATCAAAGCCAAGATCTCTTCAACGTCTGTCTCGTTAACAAAGCCACAATTAGCAACATATTTCCCTCCTTGTCGTTCTATTTCCATATTTGTATGCACCACTATAATATATATAACATTCGAGCTAAAAAATAACTTCCATACCTCTAATTCCGTTGAAATATCTTTGGCCGCACCTTTTGGTCCTGGAATAGATGAAACAATGTTTCGCTTAGGTGTTCGAGTACGACATGGAAGCTCAGTGCTCCAAATATGTCCATTTTTTCCTTTTATTACTTTGCCAGGAAGTTGTTGTTCTGTCTCACTCTCTACTTCACTATCATCCGTTGAGTAGGTGCTCTCCCTGTCGGACTGAATTGAAATATGGTCGTCATAGTCAGTGCCGTCATTATCTGAATCAGGTTCATTGTCGAGTTCTTCATTCCATCGTAACAGAGTTTCTTCAAATTTGGGATCATCTGGTCGGACAGCCATCTAAATAAATTACGTAATCTAGTGTGTGGAATAAAATAAAAATATCAGTTTAAGCTTACCTGGGGTTACTCGTCATCCCAAACACAAAATATCATATAAAGTATTGCACTGAACAAAAATGTGCGACCAACAACACACACACTTTAACCTCAAATGAACATAGCGGGATCTCCGATGTTGCCAATTTATGCACAAAAAATTAGTGAACATTTGATTTTCTTTGGGGTGATGCGAAACCCCACTAAGCATTACAGGGTTAATAATAATAATTTAACAGCCCGAAAAAATGCTCCTGATGTAAGTGCTGCTGCAGCAAGAAGTATTTAAGCAAATTCCCTTGTCTTACCAAAAGAACATCATACACCATACAAGATATGAGCAAAAAATACTTAACTATGAAATGAAAGAAAGCTTTCTGTATATAGTTGAGAGATTTTAGACAAGTCCGAGTATATTTGAAACACTAGCTCTTCAGGTCTATATATTTATGCAAAATCATGCATTTTTTATAACTTGTACCTTGTGCTGTAACAGTCGGATATAGGTGTCTCTTATTGTGTTGGTATATTGAAGTCGTATGAGCGAAAAGCTGCCGGGATCCATCTTTTTTGACTCAGTATAAGCCAGATCTGTCGGGTAAGGTTTTCTTTTTTGTAGCATATTTAAGGTGAGTTTTATACATCCCTCCCCATCCACCAATTCCGTATTCTAGAAGCAGCAGCTAAATAGAAGCATGTTTCAAAAATTGTATTTTTTTCTTTTATCTGTCTTATATTTTAGTATTTATATCAACAACCAGTCCAATAATTTCTACCTAATTCACATAAATCTTATTAATGGGAAAAATGTGAATTAGGTGTTTTTTTGGAATGATCGGTTGGAATCATTCGGCGTAGAGTTGCCCAAAAGCTTACGTTGAAGATGATTTATTATTGAAATATGTCTTGCAGTTTTTGGGATACCTGAAAGTAGTATCCGCAGTATAAACTTCCGCCAAATTTGAAAACATTATTTAGTTTTCATTTTTTCTTGAACTCTAATTATTAGATATTATCAGGGATGAACAGTGTCCATTATGATTTGTGTGACCCAGCATTATGCTGTGATGCTCACTCTGTTTCTTTTGTTTCAGTTTTCACTGCAGGCTGTCACATTAGCACAATCGCAAAACAGGTAAGCTTAATGTTACTCTAATCATTTTGCAGTCTACTGGAATATTATGTCTAAAGAGTCTGCAATAGGCATGTAGGTGAATATCTGCTGACCTCCACCTACCAAGTACAGTCTCTATCATGATTGACTGTCAACTGATCGGAATTCTCGGTATTCATAGAACAATCAGCAATGGATTTTTGTACATATATGCATAAATTGACATGGCTGAAATTGACACGTTTGCTTTCCGTCCCTTTAACTGACCAACCGAGACAGCGCTATTTCGTGCTCATTAGCAACTCGTCAGTGTGGTATAGACCTTAGGCTCAGCTTTTACCTACATACGCACACAGTTTTTAGTTATCAAAAAGACCATATCCACTTGTTTGCTTCCCGTCTGTCATCTGTCTCCAAGACTAGACCTAAGACCGCACTGATAAGTAGCTGATGAGTACTCAAACAGCTCTGTCTACTGTTGGTCATGGTTACACAGACGGAAAGCAAACATGTTTATTCCAGCATAACCATATATCTTGGAAACTCCTCCTTCAAATTCCTGTTTATTGTATGAATAGTTTGTTTATCTGTCTTGCAGATGACAGTAGAACTGTAACAGAATATACTGTTATCATTGTTACTGTACCTGAAAAATGCCACCGTGGTAGTTGAAACGTCGTACAATAAGCACTTCTTTTGTTGGATTCCGCCAGACAATGAAGATTTATGCAGTTGGAAAGTTATTTTTTAATTTTTTGAGTGCCTTGTTCAAAGGCAAGCGGAAATGTCAGGACCTATCTGTATTATTCTTTAGTATTTCTACTGTGATGATGATGATGGAGAAATAGTATGCAGTGCTTTCCAAAAAGGTCCTCCATACTTAATTCTTTAATGAACCGAGTTAGCAAGCTGAACTTCGAAATAATGAGATTAATGCATGAATACTACATCTTAGCCTAGAGCAGGTATTTGCCGATTTCAAGATATGGGCTAGGATAAGCGCCATTTTGTATCACTTTTTGAATGAAATATCCGTTTTGCAGCTCCTTATGAGCAATTTATAACCCGAGAGTATTAAATCATCGTCTTCCACAATGGCGAACTGCCAGGCTGTCAAATTTGAGAGTTTTGTATATTGAGTCATAAAAGCGCTAGAGTCTGCCATATCAACATTTTTCTCTTACACTGGTCTATTCAAATATGTAATAAAATACCAAATGTTATATTTTAAGAAATGTCAAAATAAATGTCTCATATTTTATTGCACATTCAGATAGGTCCATCCAAATGAAGAATATTGATATAACATGTTATAATTTTTTGATGATTAGCTGATGGGTTAAAAGCGATTCAATACACAAACGCACTTAGCTTTGACAGCCTACCAGTCCACCTTTTTGAATAATAGTGATTTTACATTCCAAGGTTATGAAGTAGTCGTAACTGGCTTCAAAATAATAGAATTGTTATCTTTATGTTGTATATCGTATCCCAAATTTGAGACTTGCTAGCTGCACCTCTTCAAAAATAGGTATCTATAACCTAAGATATATTTACATGCCCAACCATTTAGTTTGTTAACATAGCTGTTTTTCGGAATCTTGTAATCTGTCATGCGTTATTCATCCCTGAACTATTCCTTCACTTGATGTAAAAATTGATGCAAGTTTACCTACTAAATTTAATAGATTCGGAACATTTTGCTACTTTGATGGGAACGTACATCCGGTGTTTCCATTGCGTGCATCAACAATTGAAAAATTTACATTTCGCAATAACAGTTGCTTGTATTTTACATTTGGTTACAGTCCTGTTTGCGATTCGATAGCCGTTAAAACGCTGTCAGCAGAATACATTTCAAAACGTATAAATTGTTAGTTACGTAAATGAAGTTGTCGTTTTATGCCAAATTGAACGTATAGTTGAACCTAAATTGACACTTTTCGATTCGCTGATTTGAAATTCAATGATTCGAGTGGATGTTTTAATGTAGGATATCATACACATCCTCAAATGGATGCAAAGGGACTCAGGACTCCTTTGCGATCAAACCAATAGTTCTGATAAACGTCATGCTTGCTTAAATTATCAGAATGTAAGAGTCTGCAAGTATGTTTCATAAATGATACTTTCTAAATACCTCCACCGGATATTTCTACAGATGACCATCCCTCGAATGAAATGTTCAGGAACCTTTCGGTACAATTGCAGCATAACCTCTAAGTACATTGAGAGTTTTCTTTGCTGCCTGTCAACTTGTCCCTGCGAAAAATTTAAGACCCTGTAAATTGCTCCATTCACCTGTGCCACTTGAACACTAATTCGTAAATGTACGGTATAAGTAGGTACTTTTTTTGGCATTTGAACTACGTGTTCATGCAGCCAGTCACTAGGCATTATATGAATGATATAATGAATGAATGAATATTTTTCTAAATTGAGAGCCTTCATTGTTATAGTGGTATGATGCTAAGGAACTTAACAGACACTTCTTCACGCCTCAGGGGTCGGTCAGGGCGACTTGTTACACTTGCTCAGGTAGACCACGGTAAGAGAAGAGATACAACAAATGGTTTATTTTGATTGAATGGATAAATTCAGCAAAGCTGTCGTAGCTCTCTTCCCTATGGAAGCATAATAGAGGCTTAACTCTGTTATTCTGTTCATAAGTCGCAGAGATTCATTTCTAGTGTTCTGGCAGTCGAAAAAAAGGTGGTCAGGATTCAAAATTTCTTTACATCTTGTGAATAGGCCGGTGTCCGGTACGCCAATCTGATGTAAATGCTCTGGGTAACATGTGTGTCCAAATCTGATCCTTATTAGTGACGTCACACTTTTTCTGTTGTATTTGTAATCCCTAAACCAGCCGGATCTAGGGATTTCGGGCTGTATTAATACGTATCTATTCATTCTTGTGTTTTTATATTTCTCCCATATTGTGTCCCAATAATCTCTTATTTGGGTTTTCTGCATATGAGTATATTCTTCTATTCGAAGAAGCTGGTACAAGTTTTTTCTAGATGTAATGCTTTCCTTGGATACTCTGTCAACCATCTTATTATGTTTAGTTCCAACACGGGCTTTTACTCATACCAGCTTTATTTTGTCTATTA